GAATTTAGCCCAATCTCACAATTCTAGCCCAACCTAGGACAAACTTAACTAAATTCAAACTTTAAAATTAACCTAGTTCAATTCAATTGGACCTAACTTAATCAAATGAAACCCCACCCTAAGTCTACCCAATTTAAGCCTAACTAATATACCAAAATAATATGTTGTTTTAATTATACATTTCATGCTTATTTTTTATGATATTGCACTTTAAAGATGGGTATTTTTATGTTTTTATTGCATGTATATCCAATTTAGGTATTTGGAGAAAAAGTAACAAAAGGACGAAATTTGGAGCCAAAACAATGAATTTTGGAAATTATGGCGCTAGAAGCGCCATTTTAGAGAGAGTTGGCGCCAAATGCACCAGATTGGCACAAGAAGCTCCATTTTATAGAGAGCTAGCACCATATGTGCCAGATTTGGTGCCTGAAGCACCAAAACCCTGAACAGCGCGGTCTAAAGTAAGCTGGCGCCAGATGTGCTAGAACTGGCGCAGAAGCACTAGAGATGACTTTTTGCATATTAAGGAGGTTAAGAATGAGTTTTGCACAAATTTTTAAAGGGACACTTGTTATAAACATTCCTAGGAGTAATTCAATGCATTTGGACACTTTGAAAAGTTCTTTTATGAAGGGATATGTCTCTTGGATCAATGGACATGTCTTTTGAATTCAAAAGGGCTGACTTTTGGATAGAATTTTGGACGAAATTTTGAATTCGGGATTTTTGAATTATTTTTTGGAGGGAGGAAACCTTTAATAAAAGAGAGGTTTTAAAGAACAAAAAGAAGGTGGCGTGTAAGGGGGTGAGAGAGAGAGAGAAAGTCAAGGGCTTGAAGATTTTCTTCAAGGATTGTAAGAGGAGAGGGAAGGTGAGAGATTTCTTTTTCATTACACTTCTAAGAGAGAATTGAAAGTGCTTGTAAGGAGAGAAAGGCTTCAAGAGAGCTTCTAGGGATTTGCTTGGGAATGTTTGTGAGATAAGTTGTTTCTTTTATTTCTTTTATTTTGTAAACTTTTTTTTATATATGAAATATGTGTTTTATCATATCATTCTCATGAATTCTGAGTAGTCTTCTTTATTCTTCTCCCTACTTTGAGATATGGTTTTGTAAAGAATTGATTTTGTTTTTATATGATTTTAAATTTCAATCATTTGTGATGATTTGAACTCCGATCTTCATTAACTTTTCGATCTGACCAATTGAATTGTTAAAATATGTTGAGAAACATATGTTCTGAAAGGACTATGATTTCTACAATATGGTTAGAATCACATTTGATTTCATGGAAGAGGATATCATCCTTAGAGTTGAGTGCAAATAAATAGGGAAATGTACTTTGTTGGATGCAAAATTGGAGATTTTAAGGTGACTGATTAAAATCCTCAATTTGGTCCAGTTGATTGGAAACTGATGTAAGATTGTTAGCCCTCGGGTGAGCGAGTAGTGGGAGCTCTGGAGTGGCAGACGGTATCCTCTCAGCCAAACCACGGAATTAGAGACTAAACTCTAGAGTAGTCAATGTTCTTTATGCACTCGGAAGAGGATAAAGAATAAGATTGCTCTTATTTGGCACAAAACAATTTATATATATATATATATATATATATATATATATATTCAAATGATTTCAAATGATTTTAATTTCTTCACAATCCATATACTCATTGTAGAAGGGAAGGATGCTTCTTAAATATTCACCTGTTATTTAATATTCAAACTTTGCACTTTACTTTTTTTACTTTTAAAAGAATACTTTACATTATAATTTTAGGAACTTATTTACAGGAATTTTCAACTTCCCCGGGGGATCGATATCTAAGACTCCATTAGATCTCTTTATTACGTAAGCGATAAGTATACTTGCATTATATTTAAAAAGGATTTGGCATATTAAAGATTTTAAAAAGATAAAACTACTTTAACTAAAGTTATTTTGACTTGTTTAATTTACATATTTGCTATTGTATCTGTCGTTATTTTTAAAGGGGATTTGACAGATTAAAGATTTTTAAAAATAAAACTATTTTCATTAAGGTTGTTTTTGTTGGGTTTAATTTGCATATTTACTATTGTATCTGTTGTGTGTATTTTATAATATTGAAATATATTTACAAAATTAATACATTAACATATTAACCTCTTTAAAAGTTCATTATCTTAAATTGTTTTTTTTTATTTTATTTAGAAATCTATAACATAAAGAATTTTTTTTTAATAAGTAAAAGTCGTAGATTATGTAAAATAAAGTGTAAGGCATCTAGAGACATCAAGAAAATATACCTCTCAAAGGAATACATCTATATATACTAAACTGAACCCCCAAATATGGCCTCATATCATAGATATGTGAGCAGTTGCTTCATAGAGTCAAATAAACTTAAAAGAAATATCCGTTCGATCTTGTATAACAACAGGGGAATAATGACAACAAGATTTCACAATGATTCAACTTTCAGAGTTTCTGAACACTCCTCATTGAAAAATGCATTGATTTCAATCAATGGATTATGTACTAACAACACTAAATGCAAGGCACGAAACACTATATAAAATACGACATTCATGACTTTTCACACCGAATATCTTCCCTAATCCCAAGTAAATGCAGTGGCTCATGTTTGACACATAGCCATTAGGAAACTTCAAAGAGTGCATCCATTCACATATTATTCTGCATTGATTCAATGTGAGAGAGTATGTAGCTTTTGATTTTATTACTTTACATACATGTATCTATTGAAGTTATATGCCCTTCGTCTTGCAATAATCCTTCAAGTCCACTTTTATTTTGACATTATATTTTATTTTTCCCTTATTATCTATCAAATTATTAAACATATTATCAAAAAAGTTTATCTCAATATGCATAATCAAGATTATGTTTAATCAAATCAGTCCTCAAGTATAGAAAACTCTAGAAAATACTCTGTTTTGTCTAGTTGTGTGCGAAGCTGAAATTAAGAAGTTAATTTGATGAGTTCTAGTCTCTCAGTATCTTTATTTTTTCACTAATCATCTGTCATAAATCAGCCCCAATTATCCTCAGGAGATGACTTACTTTTTCAACTCTTTTTTTTTTTTAAGAAGACATCTCTATTCCTTCTGAATAGGTGATCATGGAATCGAAAACTTTGATGGCAATTGAACCAAGAATTTTTTTCTTCCATGCTTTAGGTGAATGTCTTCAATAGATCCATGCAGTAATGGCAAGCCAATTTTTTTGGCAGTGCTCCAACCAGATTTATTCCCATAAGCTGAGATATCACTAATTGTCCACACAAGAGTAGCTTTCAACTGAAAATTATGTTTAGTAACAATTTAATAAGTTAGCAGCACCTCTATTTCCCACAATGTTTAAAGTTCTTGTATCATAAGCTATAAATAGACATCATTTTTTATATTTGGGTTATATGGATCTAGTATGATCAAATTCAAAAAGAATGTTGCAGTTATGCACATGTTAGGAAGCAAATTATATGATGTAATTATTACTAAATAACAAGAATCGGTTCTTGCACGTGATTGCATGGTGTGAACTCATATTTACATAAATCAAGCCTAAGGTTGTGTGATTAAGATACAAAGTGAGGATAACTATAATCAGAGTTTCTTCCTACTTCCCCATCTAATTAATGACTCAAATAATTAGTATTAATAGATTAGGTACTGTGTCATGTCATGTGAGGAGCTATATGTATAAAAGCAAATAGACTTCCAAGCCGAGGCTTGAGTGGCAAGTAGAAGAGATGCTTGTATACAATATTTTTCTAATTTCTACTCTTTCTCCCCTTGGTTTAAAGTCTGAGCACCACAAAATCTACTTTTTTTTTCTTTTTTTTTAATTAACCTTATAATATACCATGTAAATATTAAATCTATCATCTCAAATATTACCTTAACATCAATATTATTTTTTTTTAGTTTTGTAAATGTCATTCAAAACTAAATTCATAATGCTGTTATTTATGAAGCAATCTTTAGGTTTGTTAAATTCATATTTGATGCTCATCGTTCTCAATGTCACTAAAAATTTCATATGTGTAGTGTAGTTATCCCATAAAGATTATTGTGCAATATTAAGTAAGTCATGGATTGTTGTTCATTGTTCGATGCTTGAATATCATCTAAAATACTCTAAAGAAATGTTTCCTAAAGACATCATAAATCATTCTTCATATGTCAAGATCGTAATCAATTTAAGGGGCATAACTTGATTAGACATCAACATGATCATATTGAAAATTTTTTTAATACTCAACATTTGCCATCCATTATGAATACTAATGTTGAAATCCTTTGATGTAACGGATCCAACTAGACTTCTTTAGGTGTTAGGTGTGATTGATTTTAATTCTTCATATAGGGGCCTCAAAATTTATCTTCTGAAAGGTAAATGGATAGTTGTTGTGTCACTTGCAAAAATTTCTCAGTATTATTCAAGAAATTGTCAGTGAGTCATTTTTTTTATACAATCTGTTATACATTCATGATCTCAAATTTTAAATATCCATCTATAGTATATATATAAATTGATGGATTAGCATATTTTGATATCAATCATACATACATTTTGCTTGTCTTAGAAATCTAATACCAAAACTTCAATGTTTACATACATACAAACTACACAAAATTCTTATGTATTACATATGTAATACCTAAATTTCAATTTTAAAATAAACAAATCACAAAATTCTTATGCATTACATATCATA